ATTCATATTTGCGGAACATTTGAAAAATCTAATTCTACCAGTTTAACTGAAAAAAAGAGAAAGCACTTGAGAATATTTATGGTGTGTTGCACAAAAGTATAATAGAAATCATGCGGTAACGACTTATGTAAAGTTGCTCGATAATCCATGGGTATGACATAATATACTTGCGTTGGATAAAAATTCCATTCGCAAGAGTGCTCCGAATACGAAAACTGATACTGATGGGGATAAAAACGAAAGAAATAAGAGAATAAAAAATGTGTGAAAATGAAATTTTTACTGTATTTCGCAAATTTAATCACGTTATTGTCGAATATTTAAAGTGAAAAATGATTTAAAACAATTTACCTTTTATATAATTGTCATATATTTGAATTCTCTTTTCACCCGTCATTTTATGTTCAATCCCATGCGATTATTGTATCAATTTATTTAAATATATCAATATTTGCGATTTCTTGTGTAGCTTATAAACTGAATTAGAAATTCGAAACGAAAATGTTAATAAAATTTTCACTATTCTGACATTTACTGGGAGACTACCCGGTTAGATATATATGTATATAATGAAAGAATATATGAGATATATTCTAAAGATGTAATTTAAATGGGTAAGGTAAGAGAAATTGAAAATATGTATAAAGGTTACATAGTAACATACATGTATACACTCCACCGCGTTTGTAAGTAGTGTAGCATTTGCAAGTAGTGAAGCATGTAACTTAATCATGTGAGTAAGTTATTTGTTGGGTATTCATATATAATGCACATAGTACAAAAGTGTTTTAGCTTTATGTACTGATAATTATGTAATAACAGTAGATGTATTTGATATGTTAATTAATTGAAGAAAGAAAAAATAAATTATTCTGGATATGTATTGCGAGAAAAGCTATATGTAAATTATTTTAATCATATAAATATAATTTAAGTTTTTTAAATTGCTTCTCCATTTTAAGTATTTTTTTTTATCGATATTTCATTGCAAAATAAACATATTTAAACATATTCATAAACATCAATTAGACAGCATCAGATTAATTTTTTTTACACAAAAAGCTTGTTTTGACGATATTTTTTGTAATTGACTTAGCCATGAGATTGTTGTTTGCAAAATAATTTTCTTATGATTTTCTGATTAAAAGTGCGCATGTACTCAATCATTATCTCCAGTATAACATAAAAAGTATTACATACGATAGAAATAGCAATAACAACGCAAAATCAGCTGTAATAATGGTTCAGTAAATTTGATAATCAGTTAACTCTTGGAAATGAATATTTGCATTCGATTTCTATAGCGGATTATAATTGCACAAAAATTGCATAAAGACAAACTTTATTTTAAAAAATAAATTACATATAAAAAATTTTATTTCTCTTTCATTTACATTTTAATATTTCGAATAAAAATATGATTTTATATTTTTCTGAAATATTGTTAACATTATATATTTTTCATGCATTTAATATATACAATTATTAAGAAAAATATTGTACAATGGATATTTATAATATTGGTAAATCCAAATATACTTTGGAATATAATTTTTTTGCTATTATGTACATAAAGTATTGCTCTTATATGAAAAAAAGATTTGTCAAAGTGTTCTAAATATGGAATCAATTTAAATTTAATTTACCTAAGTGTCGATTAAACTCTTCATTGAGTTATCGTGTTTATGTTTATTAAGAAACTCTCGCATCATTAATGCCAGCCGGTACTCTCACTTCAATGCCATCTAGTTCCTCAGTCATTGTTATCTGGCAGCCCAGTCTCGAGCTATAATTGAATATACATATTTACGATAATGATGAATAAAAAATTACATAAAGAAATAAGATAAATAAATAAGATAATAAGATAAATGATGAACCAAAAAGATTCTCTTTTCTTGTAAAATCTTAAGAAATGAAGAAGTGAAGGTATAACAGAATGAAGAAGTGAAGACTCAGTCTCGATCAATTTGAATAACAAATCCAAGGATGTTTGACCGTGATAGGCTTCTGCTTAAAGCAAATTTTATTCAAAATCTCTTATGAACATAGATATATAGGTAGCTAATTCATGAATAAATGTAGGGGACATTAGAAAGTGAGATTTGGAGAATGTTCTTCTCGTTCGTACATTTTTTACACAAGCATTCTTCACTAGCAAGAAGGAGAGAATGGATGAGAGAGAAAGAGAGTAATTCGTATAAATTTTTGGAACATACGTATCGGTTTGCTCTTGCGCCAAGTCTAGCATATCATTCTCTTCATCCGTAGGCTTGGCTGGAAGATTGTCGTATACGTCCTTGGGAAAGATTAAATGACAAGTGCTGCATGTCAATGTTCCTTCGCAAGCTCCTGTATTTGAGATGACAAATACATGTCTTGTCAAATTCGTGCATGATTATATTAGGAAGAAGAAAAAAGCGTTTTGTAGATATAAAATGTTTTCATACCGTAGCCATTCAAGTCGATGTCATTGTTTACGACAATATCTAAAATACTGTCTCCCACTTTCCCTTTTGCCTTTATCCTCTCCCCATTGGCTTTAACAAACGTTATAGTGACCCTGAATGAAATATGTACAGTATTTATTCTTCTTTGTCTTATCTAATATTTTAATATCTAGCGTTATCGAGACAATGAAAATCTAATTTTAGAAATAATTTTAGAAATTTATGCATTTTATGTTTATTTATTTACACCCATCTCATAGAAACTTCTTGTGATAATAGATTTCTTTTTCGCGGCTTTCACGAGACGGTTCTCGAAATTTTTAAAGTGAGAAAGGTGTTAAAATGTCTAACAGGACTAATCTCATTAATTCTTTTGACACTACTCTTGGTGTCAAATGGAAAGCTGAGGGCTCCGACCAAACTCCAATCAAATAATATCTAAGGAAGAACAATTTTGTTCGAGTATTTTGCTCTAAAAATTTGATATTTAATATTTATGTAAAAAATCGCTCAAATCGGTTGTTAGAATATCACAAATGTTTGCAGTATAATCATTTAAGCAGCTGCGTAATTTGTTGATCCAACAAAATTTTCAGATCCAAAGGATTTTAGATGCAAAAGTGTCTTTTTTTTTCATGTGTAATATTTTGTTAACAGAAGTTATCGATGTTTATAGTTCGACATGAGAAAAAAAAAACAGCCGATAGGGATGATGAAATGTAAAACTAGAAATCTCGTAAACAATTTGCCGATTAAGTTAATTCGAATTTGATCGAAGTCACCGTCGAGATTTCGAGCCGGGAATCGACTACAGCTTTTCCTTTTTTTTTTTTTTACTCACTCGTTTTTTTTGGAGAGCGGTTGCATGGTGGACACGGCTCTCGCAAGGATCACCTGACTAGACGTCCACTTGGCATAATTCGTTCCCAGAACGAAGAACGAAGATCGCAGTCTCTGCATCAGTGCCATTGTTCGATGTTCGAGCGTTAAATCGATCCGCGCGATCGCGTTTTACTCGGTGATTTCGGAACCACCGTGGAATTCAATGTCACTGTCCTGAGAGATCACGCTAGATCATGCATCTCGTATCCGGCGTGATTGCACAATGCCCCTGAATGCGTCGCGATTGCGACAACCCTCAGACCCCCTCCCCCCTCAGGCTTCGCTGATGAGGATTCGATCGACGAATTTGCGAATTGCGAAACACGCGGCGTGCGTTCAATTTCTCTCAGGCGTCGCGAGTCGTCCCAACAACCGCGACGACCGAACGCACCGTCATCGGGAGCCAGATCATCGACGACTGATCCATCGGCGTCTCGACGAATTGGCAGAACAAGTTTCTCCGAACAGAAGTCCTCCGTGCGCATGCGCGAGAAACGTCATTGAACACGTAATCAGTTTTATTACTCGTCGTACAACGTTCCTGTTTCTCTCTTTCTCTCTCTCCTTCGGAACTTGTATCGTTGACATTTTGCCGCTTTATGCATTAATATGAAACGCTATAAATATTAAATGCTATAGCAAGGGCAAAGTCCTCTAAGGAACATTCATGTCTTCCAACTTTAGAGACTTTTTATAAATTTATCAGAAATTTTATTTTAAAGTTAAAAAAGTTAAAATGTATCTTATATTTTATTTAGTATTATTTTTAAATAATTTCGATTTAAGTTAGAAATATATATATGAATAGGAAGATGTAACATTTCTATATTTTCGGGATTATATTGGAGAATATTAATATTACATGCTCAAAATTTTCTTCATATTTATTAAAATAATAGGTAACGATAACGATTCAAGCTACAGGAATTGGTTAAAAAGTATCATTGTGATCCTAGAGAGTGCAGAATTTATTATGATCAGCAATTTATAATTAAATTGTGCTTACATGAAATGCACACATTGATCAGACGTTTTCGTTTGCGCTAATAACTGAAAATTGAAATTTCTATATTTCAATTATCTCGTAATTATATGTACTTATATGTATAATTATATGTATAATTATATTCGGACAGTCCGTCAGGGCAATAAACCATCGTATCGATAATATTCATACTCATACTAAAAAGTTACATAAATTGAAAATTACAAGACTTACTAAATACAGTGTTATTGAGATTTCAAAAATACGGATAATATATTCGGTGAATAGATATTTTGGACGCGCATCACGCACACAAATCTATTTTCATTTTAATTAAACAAGATAGAACATACGTTTGATCCTATTAAAACATTTATTCATCTACTGAGACGGAACAGAAATTTAGAAAAAATAAAAAATGAAATGAAAAGGAATCGAAAATAAATCAAAATAAATCGAAGATATACAGCAAAGGACAATTCTCGACGATATTACACATTTGTTTTTTCTTGTTTCAGCTTAATTTTTTACATCTTTCATCTTGTTATTACCACTCTTGTCTTCGAGAACTTCGCTCTTTTCATTTTCTTTCTCTTTTCCGGGCTGTTGCTTCTTGTCTGAATTGCGAAAACGATCGTAACGCGAATCCTCATCGTCGCTCGATTTTGACGCTCCCGCTTCGCTTTCTCTTAGAATATCACCTAAATCTTTGTCGACATCATCCCATATCATTTTATCGGCACCATGCGCGCGATAATCATCATCATCTAGTTCATCGCCTTGATTATTCTTATTGTCTTTCGCATTCTTTTCGGACTCTAAATTATTAGACTTGTCATCATCCATTTTAATATATTCTGTGCCGCAAACATCGTTGTTGTCACCTGCGGTAGTCGTGGGCGTAACAGATACTTGTGGCTCGGAATTGGTGGGAGAAGCTTTCGCGATGTCCGATGTATTATTAGTCGCGGTTGAAGCGGTAGAATTTACATTCGTCGAGGATGATTGTAGATGTATTCTTTCTGCTTGACGTCTAAGCGCCTTGTCGTCATTATCACGCACATACCTGTAACAAGCACAAGATTATAAATATAACAACTTACCTTGCTATTCGCTTATCTTGCTGAATATTGACGTGATATACCGTTTAAGATGACTGCGAGTAGAACAATGTAGAGCGATCGCTCGCTCTGTATTCTCGCTGCGTGGTAGATACGATTTGCATAACTCACAGTATTGTACCTCGACACGTTTTATGTATTCCGCACCAACTTTTATCATTTGTTTGCTTTTCGTTTTTTTCTCCGCTTCGCTCGAACTCTCACCCTCGGTTTTCTCCTTCTTCTTCTCGCTAGACTCTTCGTCTTCTATCAAAGAATGATAGAGAGTATAATAAAAAATATTTAAAATTTAAAATACATACATGTAGTATATTAAATTTGGCTAGAAAGATACTTTTAATTAATATTCCATACACGTTTGTTACGTACCGTCTACATCACCTACAGAATCCAGAGTCATGAAATTATCAAGGTTAACTTCTTTGTCATCCTCTTCGGGTGCGCTAGAATCAGCTTCGGCTTCGCCACTTCCATTTGCGTTCATTCTTTCTCTCAATATACTCTTTCTCTGAATTAAAAAAAAAAAAAAATAAATAAATAAAAGAAAAGAAGTCAAGTTAGATAGTCAACTTGCGTATATTGTACTAGTAAAATGAACAATCTGAAATATAAGAGTTACCTTGATGTGTTCCAGCGAACACATATGCGTTTCAAAGAACATTGGCGAACGGAACTGGACACGACAAACACGGCAGAATGGTGTGAGGAATCGTTTCATCTGTCGATGAGATTCGGACAGCTGATGAGCGGCTTTCAGGGAACGGTAATTCAATTTGCAAATGGCACAGAACATAGTACGAGATGGTAGTGTACCGCGAGCTGCATCGCGAGCTTCGATACGCCTTTGCTCTTGTCGTTGAACAACTCGCATACGCGTAAGAGTCACCTTATGTCGCGCTGCGATACGTTTCATTGCCGCACTATGCCGACCGGTGAACAGATGAAGCGAATATTCTTTAAACGTAACGCTATGATGGGCGCAATGCGGACATTTCAATTTTATGAATTTTCTACCATCCCGTCTACTAGGTAAATCTTCGGAATTAGCGGTTCTATCGCGTTCTGCTTTTTCATCCTCGCCACGTTCCTCATCATCACCATCGTCGTCTTCGTCCTCCTATGAATTTAAATAAATAAAATAAATAAAAAAAAGACAATAATAATGACGATGATAATAGTAACAATAGGACTAAAACAATATACTTCTCGCTTTTGATCATCATCTTCTTTAATATCATCATCTTTTTCTTCCTCATCTTCGGTATGTTGTCTTTCTCTATCTTGCTTTTCCTTCTTACGCTTGTCCTCTTTTTTCTTCTTTTCGTCTTCCTCTTCCATGTCCTCCTCGTCATCACGTTCATGTGGCTGTGGAACGTTAAGGGACACAATAAATATTACAAAATTACCCGAGCATGAGACTGTTAGCTAAATATGTGTTACATTAAAAAAAAAATGTAATACAAAATAATATAATTTTAATAAATATATTGTTAAACATATAAGAAAATCCTCAACGAGTCTATCGTAAGCAAGAATTTGGCGCTAGAGATTGGATCGCGGTTTCGGACATACAACAGCGATGATTAAAAAACAATTTCTGTAAATGAAGCTTTGACAATACAATAATAATGTCTGTACGTGCGTCTTTGTGTGAGCTCCTATTTTATATTATCTAATGATCAAATTACGTAAACTGATCTTACGTAAATCCACGCTTACGAACGATATACTTTCCCGATAGGCTTTTCTAACGTTGAATTACCTTTTCTTCGTCGTCCCAATTACTCTTATTATCTTCCTCGTCATCGTCATCAGAAAATTCTGCATTAATGGCTTTGGCCATCTCTCTATCCTTGTCCTTTACGCTGGTACCGGATCCCGAGTCCTTTTTACTTCCGGGTAGCCTAGTAGTACCGCTACTAATGACACAGCAATTTTGTTTTGACTTATATTATTTTCCAGCATTCCATTTGCGTGCTTCTTTGTCTTTCATTGTTGTATCATCGAGAAAAGCTTGCTTATAGATGATACGTAGGAAATATCGCGATAATATCGGTTTAACGTCTCGGTTTTATGTTCCAAAATATAAAATGCGTTTCTTAGTGTACGCTAAAAATGTCTATTATATTCATTTTTTCTTTTTTTTTATTTTTTTTTTTATTTTTTTTATTTTTTTCTATTCGTCGTTTCAGACTTCTTCGCACACCCTCGGTCGTGTCGAGAATTATTATACGAATAATATAGTCGTACTATAATAACTTTAAAGAGAATTACATCTCACGACGAGTAAAATACAATTATTTTAGATGATACACACATACACACGTACATTGCGTTTATACGTATCATCATATCGATTCCTTCTTTATTACAGAACCCTGCAAAAAGCTCTCTTTCTCTCTGTCGCCAGTGGAATATTTGTTTCGTGATTGTTTGCGTCTTGATTTTTTTTATCGATCGATTTACTTAGGCATCTATTTACGCATATCTATTTATCTGTTCGCTTTCATTTACCCCATTTTTAATCGTCTTGCGACTCAGGTCATCGACCGAGAATCGGTTTGCGTGAACCGACTTGGAAGAAGAATACGCAAGCACAGGCTACGGGGATAATATTTGCGTACGGTTTTCGTGGTAAGTGATTGTATTAATAAATTACCTCCTGCGTAGTTTGGTAGTAGTCATGCGCACACGCTGGATGTAGTCTCGCGAGCGTGAGCCTAGCAGCTTTCGACGATAGTCGAGCGAGTGCAGGGTACGCTTGCGAGCCATGAGGACGTCCGATCGAGAACTCACGCGATGAAATGCACTACCTCTACCAGTGGTGCCGCGGGTCGAAATGCGACCTCTGTAATTTGAACTCTGATGCGATATTCTTCCTCGACTCGAGGTGTATCTCTGAGTCGGGGGCGGTGCCATTTCACTAATCCGAGGTGGTGGCGGAGGCGCGTAGCTTCGCGAGGCGGAGTGACGGTCCTCGGAACGGTGGTACGATGATGCTCGTTCGCTCTGTCTCTTGTCCTCGTATACGCCGGATGACGATCCCTTATTATCATCATAGGGCGCCGATGTAGATGAACCGTACGATGAATACCTCTGTGAACCGCTACCGCTACCTCCACCCTGCCAAATCAAATTCAATTGTGCTCCTTCCATGTATTCCTCTCTTTTGTTTCACATTTCCTGCCCCCTTTCCTCTCTTATTTATTTATTTTATTCTACATATATATTATGTATATAAGTATGTGTGCTTATGCATACATATCCTCTCTCTCCCCTCTTTATTCCCTTTCTTACCTTATCTTTTCGTAGGTCTCTCTACATACACGTATATATATATATATATATCTATGTTTAACTCTTAATTGCTACTGTCCAATCGGACTAATCGAGTGACTAACTGACTGATATCGATTGATGAATTGATCGATCGAGCAATTGACTAAATGACTAACTGACTAACTCGATCGACCGAATAAAAAATTTATTAATCAATTAATAATTGTCGGCGTAGTAATTAACTGACTGATGTTTTTATTTTCAATAAATCCATTTGCATTTCATCATTCGGTTATCACATGCATGCAGTGCTAATCGTTTACTGTTTAAAATATACTTTTTTTTTTTCTATTTTCCCTAAATATCAAGAATCCCTAAATGCTTTTTCATTGCCTTATTACTTGACTTCGCGTTCACATTATATTTGCGGATCTTGGGAGTAGTAACAAAGCTCGTTTCCCTCGAGCTAACGAATTCTATCTCGCCACTCAACGATGCGTGATATATAATACGTACAATGCTCTCGCTAGACCTTTCCAATTTATCGAATTATTTGTCATTAGGTGTGAACAATCGTATCGTTACGTATAAGAAATTTCCTCTGCGATGTCGAATCTTTCATATACATAAAGGTGATAATAGATAACGAAAGTAACAAAGCTGTCGCTAAGCACATAATCATTTATAAATACTTGTGCTTTTTAGTTGCATTTGGGAACAAGATATTTTGGACGATATATTACGTATACGTATGTACATCCATATATATCCATTTCTCGCTCATTTTCCCCGCATGTATCATATTTCACAAGTATTTCTTTGTCATTCTGTAGGGATATGCATACATTTAAACTTTAAATCATTCCTAATTTCCTTTTTGCCATGGTTAACGTAAAGTCGATAAAGGACAAACGTATCTCAGTGCGATTGAAAAGGTCTACGAACGTATAAATATTATTCAAAATTTGCTCTTGTAATTTAGCATTTGACATAATTTAGATAATCGATTACACGATGTTTATGGATGATATTTCGTGAAAATCCCATGTCATAAAGCGACGCCTGAGTATATCGTGCTTTACTTCTCTACGATTTCTCTATACTCTCTATTCTCGTTACTGCACAATAAATCGGCTTAATTGCGTATATCGCACTCTAACGGGGAATAAACGTGATGCGACTGGCACATACACGTACGTCTATTTACTCGATTTTTCCATCGACTTTTTAAACGACTCTCAAATTTTAATAGAATATATGCGGACAGCAGGCAATTATGAATACCATCTAGGTATGTTTCATCATTTAATGATTCATCTTTTAATAATTGGACGTTTTTGTAGCGTTCCATCGCAGTAGCGTCCCAACGCAAAAAGAACGAGTGTTCGAGAAGCCGTTGGCTCGCGTTGCTTGAAAGGAAAGTATGATAACTTATGAATGTTTCGCCTAAAGTACACCAACCTTTTTTATATACGAGTGTCTTGAAATTATATGAAATTATATACTATTCCTTTAAATTATGCTCATCCTTTTGATGCGTTACGTTTCAATCGACAAGTGACAAACTTTCAGGACCATCGTTCTCAATTACGTAAGATAGAAATAATATTTAATAATCGTCTATCGAAATTCCTCGTTATAAAAAAATCATGATGTACAATATAATTTCAAAACAATGCAAACTGATACTATACTGTACGTTTTCTCTTAAATTATTAATCATCTTACAAGACAAATTAATGGATGAAGGAGCTTGGAAAGAAAAAGAGAGGGGAGGACACATACCTGATAATCGCTTCTTATCCTTTTACGTGTTGATTCACTGGACGATCGGTGATCATCCCTACCGGAATATGAATCCTACAAAAGAGAATATTTTAGTACTCCCAATAGTGTCATAAGAATATATTTTTAAGATTTTTCTATAATATTAATTCTATATTCTTACGCGAGGTCTTTTATAACTGTTTGAATGTTCGCCACGACCACCTCTACTTGTATATCTTTCCGATCCTATAAAAAAAAAAATCATCAACATTACAATATCGTTTGAAAATAGCTAGTACATATATGTAATTTGTTGATTGTGATTAATATGTCATATCAAAGTTTTGTTATCTCGGATTTAATAGTTCTCTCTAATCACTTTTCAAACACTATAGCGTGTTATTAATCAACATTATATATTACCTGAATTATACTTGGATCTAGAATCATAGCTCGTCGTCGAGTACTTAAATCTGCCGCCTCTAGAAGACGAGTATCCTCCTCGGCTGGATATATTTCCACCTGCCGAGCTACCATTCCATTCGTTTCCACCACCTCCACCTCGTCCTCTATAAGAACCTCCGCGAGAACTAAATCCTCGACCACGAGAACTCATGGTAGAACTACAAAAAACCCGAAAAAGAAACTTTTTGTCATATTCATATCACATTTATCTTTTTCAACCATCTTTTTACATCTTGATGTCAGTATATAATCCCTCTTATATAAAAATATTTGACTTTTTTCTGACTAGAGCAAAATCAAATACTGATATGTATGAAACAAGTGTGAAATTGTGAAAACGTACATGGCAACAAAAGAATCAAAGTTGCTTCAAACTTGCAAAGTGCACCAATAAGGTGCTATCAAAAGAAAAAGCATTTACCGGTCTTGCGGACCAAACACAAATCGGACGTCGTTATTAAACGTACATTACCAACCTGTATTTATTGTAACCATAGCTCATGGTTGCAACTTATCGTTGAGCGAGACAGAGAGAGAAAGAGAAAGGGGCTGTAGCGGATATACAGCGCCAATTTTCTATGGACAAAACAAATATTTTTGTACAACGTATGTGGCATGGTTTACATTCGTGAGACAATATATGCATATAAATAGTCCCTCCGTGATTACGAGTTGCTATCCGGGTTGTAATTCGAATTTCCGTTCAGGTTAAGCATCGTGTTTGAATGGAATCACGAAGCGGAATGACGTAATTTCGTATAAAACCCACAATCTCTGGATGGTTCTACAAAAAAAAAGGGGAGGGGGGAGAGGATGGGGAAATAAAAGGAGAAATTAAAATCCAAAAGGCGACGCGTGACTACGAGCATCGATCGGCCACGTCGGACGAGATCGCGATGCGCCGAGCTGCGTGACGATGAAATGCGCCGCACAAAGTCGAGGGACATACCACTTCCTGCCCCTTATGCGAAATACTTTGGGGGACGAATTCGCGCGCCCATGAGGTCCGTTAGGAAGGCTCGATAATCTCACGTTTGCGCAACTTGCGAAAGAGCGATGGTCGCATTCCGGCGCGCGTTCGGCAAGCGGTAGAAGACTCACCTTGCTGTCCGCCCTGGCGAAATTCACAGCCTTCACCTCGTCGTTGCGGATATGACCGCGCGATCACAACCGAGCTTTTTACGACCTCACACGTTCGTATCAGAACTATTATCGCTCTATTATCGCTACTACTATTACTGCGTACGGTACGTACACGGTTCGTACTATACGCTACTCGACGTTCAAAATACCTCGATCTGCAATTGCGAGCAATTGTTCGGAAGAAAAATCCACGCGAAGAAGATGGAGCAACGAACCGAGTGACCGTGAGCAACTAAAATGTCGGCACGCTCACTTCTTGGAACAGTAGCGTCCCAATCGCGAATGTAACGAAAGGAAACCCGCGTCATCTTCGATATCCAATAGCGACACGCATTTCCTAGGAACTCCAGCCACAACGAGACATTGGCTGCGTTCAGCAGAGAAAGCAGATCAGTGAGCGCTCAGTGATTTTTCAATATGATTGGTCCTTGCCTTTAGATCTTCGTTGAATGTAAGTGTAGAAACCAATCGTAATAAAGAATCATTGAACGCTCACTGATCTGCTTTCTCTGCTGAACGCAGCCATTTTGCTCAAGGGTGCGGTTTTGCTGCTGTGCCATTTGCTGCTACAAATGCTTCGAAGTATTTGCTTAACCAATCAGAATAAAGAATTTTATGAATTGACCAATCAAAAAATGCCTCGAAGCATTTGCAGCACCAAGTGGATCGCACCCTAAGATAAACCTTTCTATTGGAAGTCCAAATTATGATTATTAAATTCGTACAATTAATTAGTTGAATTAATTAAAAACATCGGAATAAAACGACATTTGTAATTTTTTAAATTAATTTTTAATTAATTTTTTTAGTATGTCGAATAACAAAGTATTACTAATTTTAACAAAATAACACAGGTATTAACTATATGTTAATATTAATTGATATAATTATTAATTACATTATTATTGTTTTTAACTTGCATCTGACATTGCTGTTACTTTCGTTATTATCATGACTTTTGCTAGCGCAAATCGCCACAATTAATTTTTGTAAAAAACCGAGGATAGAAAAAATAAAATACATACTTTTGTTATGTGATTTTAGATAATACTATATTATACATCGAACAAAGGTATGCATTGATGCATTATATGATTACATCATCATATACATTACATTAACACTGGTAACAATCGTAATTATTATTTTTCGCGCGTTCCAAAATGCGCAATTCAGAATGGACGAGAACTTAGAGAGATTTGGAGATTCGTTGAAAGTATACGATCACGACCGTATAATTGGTATTTAATTAATAGAGTTAATTCTTTCAGGGGACTTTAATAGTAATTATAATGATACATACAAAACATTTAAATTTAATGACCTGCTTTTTCGTAATTCTTTTTATACATTTCTAAATCCGTTACGTTTTTCAGAATAATCTTAATATAATGGGAACGAGTCATCTATGGCTACGTATTATCTACAGGGAAGGGAGAAGCAAAGGAAGAGAAAGAAAGAAGGACCGAAACATCAAACATATTGTACGAAAGTCAATACGATTAGTTAAAGATAAATATAATAAGCGTGCAGGTCTCAGCTGCGATTACTTATTTTCACTTTTCTATAGTTGAACCTCCACATTTTTGATCTGCTGGAACAAACTCTCTATTCTCTCTTATTCTTCTTCTTTATTCCCTTGTTACATTCATCTGCGTTTTTTTATTTCATTAGCAGTTTTCATTTTTCACAGCAAAGTGAGAGAGATTCAGCTTATTCAAGAGAATAAGAGTGCTCAGAATACAGAGGCTCGACCATATGTTAAAAGCGGATTATGTACATGTATACACACAGCGTAACAAATGCATCATACAAAATTCTATCCGAGTTTTACATATGCATTCAAGATTAAAGAGCTTTAATAACATGTGACTCATATTTAAGTTAATTATTAAATCAATAATAAAAATCTCTTTAAATTTTCTCAATCGATAATCATTTCAAGCATATTTGAAAACATAATCAAATTGATAATTTCATATAGTGAAGCATTTATAACGCCATACGTATATCAATTGGATGAAAGATGTTTGGTTCAATTAACCATTAATTAGCGGCAATCATATATAAGATGAATATCTGTCGATAATTGAATTCGTTCAATTATTGAGTCATCTCTCAAAATACTTAGTACGAATCCTCTCCATGTAAGTTCACATACACACACAAGAGCGCAAACAATATACTCATCAAGAGACACGTTAATGGTTCGCGCCAAGTTCGCGATAAAGTTGCCCGGAACTGTGGCGAGACGCCCATTGCTCTATTTACGTACAAACATGCGCATGCAGCCACGCACGCAGGCGTACACCCATACATACATCAATACATACATACACACACAATCTTTGTAATTGTAATATTGAGCATCCGTTCGTTTTCCACTTTTTGTTGGAGAAATTTGTAGATTTGTTCTTTGTAGCGAAACTTTTTGTACTTTTCATCGTTTCTCTTTTTTTCCCAATTTAATTTTATATATTCATTTCAAGTGCAGAACGTTCGACACAGTACAGCTACAATGAACAGATCTATTGTTATCACGTAGATTTAACGCGCTCGTGTTTAATCTGGCTATATAATTATCTTTCTGCTATTATTCGTCCATTACGATATTAATTATAATTTGTTTTGTCTAAAGAGATGACATAAGTTATTGCAACGTGCATAACGATGTTACCAGATCTCTTTTAACCATCCAGACTATATTCCGCGTCTAAGGCAGAATGAAAAACATTTACATTGTCGGAATGGCTCTTGTATTGACAGCAATTTTCAATCACCAAGTTTGCAAGTTCTTTTATACGTTCGTATGGCCTAGGATCCGCTATTACCGTATGTAGTTTCTCCAGTCCTCCTTCTTTCACTACCAATGCACAGTATTTGAATGCTAAAAGTAGATCAAATTGTAAAAGAATGGAACAAGACGAATACTCCAAAATATAAATACAATATTCATATTGCATACGTACAATATACAGTGGTGAGATTAGCAAGAGCCCAAGCAGCCCAATGTTGACATGGAGGAGTATGATATACATCCAGCAAGCGTAATAATGGTCCGAATGAACGATAATTGATATTACGTTCCGCATCCAAGTCCCAACTTTCAATCGCTTGTACCATGTATTTAAGAACTTCATTGCGAGTCGGCTTTTCTATTGTCCAAGCGTCAATACCATCAGATGTCATGTGTGCCAATATACCAGCCGCGTTGTATGGAACCTGTTGTAATTAAAGAAATATATCTATTTGCGCATGTTAGAGATTTAAATTTAGAGTATTCCAATAAAATTAAAATAAAATCACTTTTAACAAACTACAAAAGAAGGAAAGGAAAATACGAAACCTCAATTCCGTCACCATTAGAGCGTAATAGATTGGCGAAGACAGTCACGTATCGTTCCTGCATAAGGTGAATCCGAAGATATTCGACTTCTGCTACATTGCCGAGTAAACCCATCATATTTCTTAATAATTCTTCTTTATGTGGATATTGCTAAGCAACACATGAAAGAATATTATTGCAATAAAAATGAAAATTTTGCAACTTAAGCTCAGTGTTGACCATGACCGAACGTACATCATAAAACATGCGTACCTGTACGCATTTGAGGAAAAGTGCCATGCCATCTTCATCTAAGAATCGTTGGCAATTTATAGAAGTTTCGTCTGTCATATTCCACATAGTCGACCATGCGACTTCTAATACGTCATCAAAAATATTTGTTTCCACCCTGTATTCTACCAATTCTAACATAGTTTTAACACAACCCAATTTGCCGAGTAATCTCTTCTCTTTACCTTCCACTTGACAAGCTAAAGAGTTTAATAAATATATGCCGATTCTTTGGACAAAACTTTCGGGCTCTGAATGTTTGGCCGAATGTAGAAGCACCTTTACAAGCATTTCATAATTCGACATCTAAAAAATCAATGTTATTGAGAGTGATTAATTATACTTTCTTTTTCATTAATAAGTGGTGTACATCCGATAAATAAAAACGTGACTTTGTTTTATTATACGATAATCGCGCAATTTAATTACAAAGAATTTAATACAGAAAACTAATATTTCATCACGATAATATAAAAATTTAAAAAACTAGGGATAACACAAACCACGTCATGTGGTATGCGGAATTGACACAGTGCCAAACAACCATTCCGCATCATAGTTTCTTCATCTCTATGCGTACTCATACCAGCCAATAAAGTACTGATAATTCTTCTCTTCATTCGTGCTACTAATTCACCCTTTTCCTTCATCTTTACTATATAAAATAATGTGGCGCTGCAATATATGACACAAAATTAGAATTGCGATTGTTGGCATAGCCTTAACAGTGGTTTCTCAGATCTCACAACTATTTTCCTTGGCAATAAGTAATTTATGAATTATAAAACGTCTATTTAACACGTCTATATACATGCATACCTTCCTGAAATCTGTATATGTTTCTGAGCGGGATGTTTTTCCATCGCTTCCAAAACGGTACATAAAGCTTGATCCATTCTGTGACAATTTTCATATCTAAATACATGATACAAATCGCTTAATACTTTCTGCAATAATTCTTGCTTATTGTCCATACAAACATGAGCTGCGATCAATATTTGATCTTCATTTGCATCACCAGCCACCTAAATCCACATGAAAAGAAATCGAAAATAAAAAACAATATCTCTATGAATTTTGCTGCAATGTATAATATCGACGAGACACATTACCACTTTTGCCGGTATGTCATGTCTCCTGCAAGCACCATGAGTAGTACCATAAAGTCCTAAAAATTGCAATGGCTTGTGTATTCTAGATGCAAGTCCTGGTATATCGGAAAGTTGACCAAAATTGATATCTTCGATGTTCGTATCGACAAGACGTTCAGCTACACCTCTTCCTGCAAGATTTGTACCACCAATATCTAAAGAAACCAACTGGGGTAGACCACTTACTAGATCACTTAGGATCTTATTGGGATTATCAAACTGTCCCTGTTTGTGATTCGATTGAGAAATATCCAAGTGCCTATAAAAGATATTTTACATAAATTCACATCATACGATATCATCCAATAAGTTTAGTTTCATGTATCACCTAGCTGTGTATTTGTATCTTTAAGAAAATTTTACAACTAATAAGTCTCATGGCTATACAATTTATATAATCTTATAGTATACCTTAAATTCTTCAACTGACAGATGTTCTTAACAAAAGATTTTGCATCGGTATTAACTTTAACGTTGTACAAAGCTAAGGATACTAAATTTGGTATCAGATGATAAAATTCAAAAGTGTCAATGTTACAACTATTAGATAAATCTAGATGTGTCAGATTTATTAATCCCGCTAGGAGCAGCGAATATTCTGATGACGGTATTCCTACGTATCCTAATGCCAGACGTTTTAAATTCGGTGTTTTAAAAACGTATCCTTGTTCGTAGTAATTGACGGATGAGCCAGCTGTAATAAAGATTACATATAGTCTAATCGACAATCCACTTACATTATACATCGTTACAACAGATTAGAGGGATAGCAGCAAGTTTCTTACATGCTTTTAAACTGGATGGTATGATCATCGAGGTACCATGACACGCTAAACTGTGTAAATTCTCCGAATTTGCATTAATATGCTCGATACAGAGCTCCGTTACGTTGCTACAATCGGTGAGTTCTAAATCGTAGAGTTTGTGGCTGACGAGCGTTTGGACCGAGGTGTCGGTCAAGCTGCAATTGGATATCCTGACGTGTTTCAATCGCGTCGCCGCTAGATTTTTGAAGATCGAAAAAAAGCAATCGTCATCCTCGGTCGCCTCGCTGCGCTGCGCGTATTCGATAATCTTGTCGCATATCTCGCTCGGGAAGGTTATGCCCTTCCGTAGTATCCGATGGCCGCGCTTCCCCTTTACCGAGATTATGTCGAGATTCTCGCAGATCAGTTTGTAGCATAAATCGGTAAGCCGTTCCGGGCCTACATATTGATCCGTGTGAAATAAGTCATCCAGCTCCGCCATTCTCTCTCGGCACGGCTCTCGGCTTTCCACTAAATCACGATGATATCACACGGCATGAAGGAAGACACGCCTGTGCTGTATTTTCGTCTATAATTGCGCAATTTCGGCTCGGTCGAAGCTGCTATGCAGGAATACGACGCGATATGTCAAACGTGGGATCAGCTGGGAACGCGCGACATGGCGCGCGTTCATCGAGGCTGTTCAGTTGTGTACGAATTCTCGCCGTCAACCGCGCGTTCACAACCCTTTCCGTTTTCTCGTACTGTACGCCTGTCTAATTCACGACTGTCTCGCCCCGCTGACACTCGCGAGCTTGGACACGAGACTCCAACGCGGAATAGCCAGCTCGTGCCAAATATTAAAAAAAAAAAAAATACAGAACGCAAAACTTCGCCTAATCGAAATCCACCAAAAAGCCAGCTTGGCTACAGCTGTTACCA